TGTTGTTGTTGTTGTTGTTGTTGTTGTTGTTGTTGCTGGATAAAAAGAAATTTTTTGCCAGTTTTTTTTTAAATAAAATTCAAAAAAGCTTTTTAATGTATTATTCAAAAATTTGCATTTTATGCTTTACAATATTGAAAAGTTTTCGTATGCGGACGACCTGAAGTATATGATCGTTTTTTGTACATATAAACATAATAGTAATTAGCATGAAAAAAAGTATATTTTGTCTATATATGGCCGTTATTATATCGAAAACCTTTGAATGCAATAACTTTTCATTATTGATTTTTAATGACCAATCTAATTGAATTGCTATTGATTTTTGCTTTTATTTCGATACTAATAATAGCTCCCTTTCTCGATTACTATAATAATTATAAAGCATTTTCGAATAGTCACGAAGAATACTGATCCGTATTCATAACAGACCTTAAAATACAAAGGATACTGTATTCACAGTAGAACCTAAAATACGAAGAATACTGTATTCATGATAGAACCTAAAATACAAAGGATACTGTACTCATAACAGAAAATACTACAAAATGAAGCATACTTGCAGATTATATCGTTATGAACTGTCTCTTTCCAGTTTATATCAAATCTTTTGATTTGTCCGTATCGAATAATCGAGAAATATTGAAATGAAAATTTTAACATTCTTTAGTCCTCGTATTTTTTTTTTATTTCCAGACTTTATCGCCATATTTTTTATTTTGGCAACAAAATTACAAATCTGATATGTAATCATGAATAATCATGATCTTGCAGCAAATAATCACGATTACATGTCTCTGATTCGCCAAACATACACACATATAAATTTCAAAAAAAAAAAATGTTGCCCAAATTTATGAAATGAAAACAAACAATAAAAAAATTGTAATCAGTCATAGCTAGAAAATTCCAACAATTATCATAATGGAATTATGACAAATTATGATAATGAGAAAATATCACAAAATATCATAATAGAGACCATTGTAGATCATTGTAACAGCATCATTACAACATCAGTGATTTATTATCCTATGATTTTTTAAATCATTTCAAAAATCCATTTAAAGTTTCATTTTTTTTCTAGTAATCATAGCAAAACTTTTGCTATTTGCTATAAAGAATTGCATAAATATTACTTTCGACAAGTTGATGATGCTTTAAACTGATAATTTATGTATCGAAATTTTTGGCATACCAACCAACCATCGTGTGTGGCAAAGTGCATGGTAATTAATTTTTTTTTTTTCTCTTTAAAACTTGTTAGCATTGTGAGCAAAAGCCTAAGAAATTATGATGTTAAGCAATTAAGAATGATAAATTGTTGAAAATATGCTTAAACTCGACTTTTTAACTTGATTGGATAGAGCTGAAGCTGAGATGAAGAAAATGAAGAATTTTGAGAGAAATGAAGGAAAAAATTCCTCTAATTGATACTTTTATATATGTTGCCATAAAAATACATGATGAAATGATGAAATGTGCAAAATTTACTAAACATGTCAAAAAAAAAATGGAATTTAAAATTTTCTGCATCCTTCACAACTTGGAAACATAGAATGAATTAATATAAATTCAAGAAATTTTATAACAGAAATTTTAGAAATTATCATTCATCTGACATTTTCAATTCTTTTTTTTTTAACATTTTATTGATCGATGACAATCTTATATCAAGGCTATCATTTTGATAGATATATTTTTTGCAGGAAATGTAACTTCGACAAGATGAATAATAACATATGCAGTCATAATACTTCATTTTCTTTCTTATATGCCATCTTCGGAAATGAATTCATCGATTTGATTAGTCGTTAAAAGATATTCCCAATCAATATCTTTGATTCTAAAACGTACATTATTATGAACTATTAAAAAAGAGAAGAAAACAACTTTTTTTTAAGTATAATGATTATTTTAAAATAATTATTCAATTATTCTATGCAATATTTACTCATGGATTCTTCAGAACAAATCTCGTAATTCGCTACAATTAATTAATAATAATATTAATTAAAAAGTCTTCCTTAATTCATTGCAGAGATTGAATAATTGATAAATCGAATTATCTAAGGTGTACGCGATAATTTATTTATACTCAAAAAAAACTTTAATTCGAATTAATTCTTCCTGAAAGATTATAGGATTGTAAAAATACTATTTAAAGTATTGATAATAAAAAATTTACATATTTAATTTGTCGACATTACTTGCTGTGCAATAAGATTCGGTCTTGTAATGGCATGACTTATGGCATATAGTATAACAATCTATAATGAAAGATAGAAATAGGAACTAATGACTTAAGGTAGCATTAAATTGAATGAAATTAAGGATCATTCAATTGAAGTTCTTTAAAGTAATAAAATTAAGCATAACAAAACTGTTAAAAATTTGATCTGAATTAATTAAAACTGAAATTTGAATTGAGAATGAACTGAGCTTAATTTAGATTAAAACTATATACTCGTTAAAATACTTCTGATATAATTCGTTTTTATCATTATTACAAATGATATGTTTATATATTGAATTTTATTAATAATTGGATAAAAAAAACTCGTAATATTAAAATGAAAAGTTCATCATTCGGGAATAACTTAACTAAACAGTTCATAAAGATGCGGAATTTTATCATAGACAAAAAATTTTTTTAACCAATTATAATTTGGTAAAATTTGGAATTTTTTTTATAATGAATTCAAATAAATATGCTGAAAAGCATTTAACAATTAATTTATAAAAATCAATAACATAGACAGCTGAGTTATCAAAAATGCAAACAAATTCGATTTCCTATATAACATAAAGCAATAAGAAATTGATAACTAAAAAAATTAATATTAATCACTATTCTTTTTCATTAAAGATTCTAATTTAAATTTTTTCCTTCTTCTCTTTCTTTTTTTTTCCTGCTAAATACTAAAGCATGTAAAATTTCAACAACATTAAAACTATCATTCACCTCGACATTGATAAGCTTGCTTAGCAAAATTGCTTCGTCCAATTCGTTGATAGCATACACTACAGGTCGTACCGCTGGAATATATTGTTGAATTAAAAATTTTTAATTTACTAAGAAGAGAGCAAAAAGAAAAGAAAGCAAAAAAAAAAAGAGAGAAACATTAAATAGAAATTTTATCACTGATTATCATTTATTTGATGCTAACCTTCGACTTTTCACAGCAACAAATGTATGATTGTTGTAAACATGTAATTTTTTCCCTTGTCGTAAAAGTTTTATCGCTCCTGGCTCATTTAATATTGTATGCGGTATTAGATAATACCTGAAGTTATAATAATTTATTAATTAACCCTTAGTTTTTCTTTCTTACGAATGTTCTTTGATACTATCTCGAATTAATCTAATTAGTCTTATCCTGATATCATTTCCAGATTTTACAATTTTTCTTGCCTATGAAATTGAAATATGAAATAAGCACTTTTTTTATTTTAAAATCAAATAATTTACCGTTTTTGGCCATTTTCATGTGTTTGAAGCAATAATGTACTATGCTGATATAAACTTTTAGTGGAACGTTTCGATTCACTACCATCGTATGATTTCAAATCATGTCGACTGCTTGATTTTTCTTCAATTCAATTTGAATTATTTTAAATTTTACAAGTTTATCATGAGTTTATCTTGGAGTTCATCAAAATTATGACGAATTTCAAATGTTTTTCTTGATGTGGGAAATGTTTTAATGATCGTTGTTGATGAAATTATTACCCAAAAATTTAATTTATTATGAAAATTAACCAGAGAATCGTGTCCTTGATATATCTCGCGAAGGAGGTAATGATACCGCTTCTTCCATTTCACCACCTACAAGATCACAACTTTTAGCACGTCGTTTAGAACGTCGACGTCCGCTTAATCGCTCACGTAATTCGCTGAAGAATGAACGATCACGTTTTCTAGCTACCTTCTCTTCATCACGCATCTTCACTTGACCTGAATAACCGTTTAATTTATATTAGGAATTCTTTAAAAACAATAAATCACAGTATAATAGTATTGATTTTTTTAAAATAACAATCATTTGAATAAAATGTTTCATCAGTTTTAAATAGAAAATTATAATATATTAAATCAATTTAACAAAGCCAATAGTAGAATTTGTTAGCACTAATAATTATAGTCATATTAAAATTAATTACTGATATGGACAAATATGATAGAATTATAAATGCAATATAAATATTTTAAATAAATAAAATTGTACTATTTTTTGTAAAACAACAAGATAAAAAATGTAAGATGAAACGATTTAATTATTAATTGTCATAGGTAATAGTGGAAACGATTAATAATGATGATAATGATAATAAATAATTTCATAATTATTGCATATATTACTACCTCTGGATTGTCGCATTTCACTAATTTCTTTCGTTTGAGGTATTTCATCTGATTTAGTCTTTACTAATCCTTCTCCTTCTCCTTCATCATACCTGCAAAATTGCACGTTCACCAGATAGCTTAATAATTTTTTAGCTAATATTTATTCCATTTCTAATCTTTTTATCATTATACTTTTAGATTATCATATTATAAATTATCAATTAAAAAATCGCTCCACCTATGATAAGGATAGATATCGATATCAGTGAGATCTCCAGTTCCGGTAGGAAAATGTTGAGTACCGGAAGTAGTTCCTGTACCACTGCTACCCGGTATAACATGCTGCTGTATTTGACTGCTTGCTGCACTATCAGGCTGCAAATTTTTTCGTAAAATTCTTGATCAAATAGACTTTTTTCAAATTCAGCATTGAAATAATCGAATGATACCTGTGAAGCAGTTTAATTCAGCCTGAAATAATTGAATTATATTTGTTCAATTCAAGTCAGCATGAAAAATTAAATGTTACCTGTTGATATTGTTCTGTAACATGTTCAGATCGTTCGGATAATTGTTGTTGAATTGTGGTACCGTTTGAGTGATACCGTTGTTGTTGCATATCATCGGTACCAATTCGTTGTCCGTGTGATTCACAAATCTGTAAAAGAAGAAGAAAAAAAATGTCAAAAAAAATTTTGCAAACTTTAACAAATTTCCCAAATATTATATTGAAATATTGAAAAATATATTAAAAAGCGTCACAACAATTCATATTTTATTTTAATTTTTTTTTTTTAAAAGAATTTTTCCAGCCAGAAAATATTGTAGCAATTTTGAAATGTTTCAAAATTATCGATTTACTTAAAAGATAGTATTATGCACGAGTGTTACCGAATGAAAAAAGCTTTCGGATTTTTTAATCTGAACTTAAAATCTTAACTGATTTCAGGTAATACAACTTTTAAAAATGAACTCTATCATATATCATAAGTAACATTTATCAGGATAAAACTTCCCAAATTTTTCTTTTAAAAATTATCATTGTAAACATACAATAGGTGTCGTTGACGTTTGTTGTACGGTTGTAATTCCTGATATTCCTGTTAGCGGTTCATTTTTACCGCTTAATGATTGCTTAAAAAAATCAATTACTTACTTAATTATATATGCTTAAATTCTTTTTCTATTTGTTTCTTTTCCAGAAATTATCTCTTCCAGAACATCACGTATACTTTATTCGATTATTTGTGCACGATAATTAGATTTAATCTTTCAAACAACAAAAATTAAATGCTAAATAATGGAATG